CAATGTTTTTTTTGTTTGTTTTGGGTTTTATGATGTCTGTTACCTGATCCCATCGATACCTCATGATCGTACAGGCTGGTATGCTTCTTTCATGTGGGCTTGTTGCTTCTCTGCTAGATGGCCGCTTTTTTTAACATTAAGCCTTTAAGACCACAGACACTCTATCCTTTGATAGCCAGGCTTCATCAGCTTTTTTCGCCACATTTGTTTATGCACCCATTTTGTCTTCAGTGATTGTGCTGGGAGGGTGAGCACTACAGAATGCCAGGTTGTTAGAACAAAGTGTTCTTGTGTTGTTGAAGGAGGGCTTGAGCAGAGGCCCTAAGTCCATCCACTACCTCAATGTATTGCCATATAAATATATGTACATAAGCCAATCCCTCTATTTTTATGAATTAATATGTTTACATGCGTACATACCTGTGTTCATACCTCTATCCATACCTTTGCTTCCTAGATCTTTCTACTATTTCCTTTTACATTCCTCCTGACCCACCATCACGCTCACCCTTCTACTGCCTCCTTAGTAATTCCTCTCAGTTAATTACCATTGCTCCAACACCCCCAGGATCTCTACATCCTCCTCGTTGTTGATTTTCATCCCCTAGGTCAGTGGTTCTCAACCTTCCTGATGCCGCAACCCTTTAATACAGTTCCTCATGTTTTCATAACCCCCAACCATAAAATTATTTTCATTGCTACTTCGTAACTGTAATTTTGCTACTGTTATGAATCGGCAACCCCTGTGAAAGGGTTGTTCGACCCTCAAAGGGGTAGCGACCCCAGGTTGAGAATCGCTGCCCTAGTTGTTCCTCTGTCCATGACGTCATTTGCTCACCGCTCCCTTTTCCTACCTCCACCTCCCCCACAGTCCTTCCAGAACCGTTGATCCTTTGCCTTCTCATCGGGCTTGCTTCCCATGCCTATCTTATATATAGGTAGGCAAAACCAACAATTACAGAGCCAAGCAAAAAGAAACCAAAGATTAAATAAAAGGGGAAAAAATAAAAATAGCTAACTATCAAAAAAAGCCACCCCCCAAACTCTGCGTTTTATACTGAACATGATTTATATTTATCTTAGACAGGCTTGCTTTTCAGTATAGAATCCCCTACGTTTCAGCTTTGAAGACTTGTACTAACTTCCTTGATATGTGAATTTTACACACACACACACACACATACACACACACACACAGGATTGGATTTGTTTGTTTTGAAATTTTAAATCATATGAGCCAATGTGTGAAAATAGGCAGTATAGTGCCTGGCACACAAAATATAATTTGCTTTCTAGTGAGTATAAGCACTTCCTTACCCTACCCCATGTTTGTAGTTTCAAACACTTATATATATTTCCTTTCAGTTATATAATTTTTTGGTAAGATACAGATCTTCCTATTATATATTTTTTGATCCACTAATTTAATAAATATTGAGATACCAAATAATCAAGACTGTTTGCTGGATACTCCAGGAAATACTGATTTAGAAGTTAATATAGTTAACTAAACTTAAAGCTAATCAGGAACCAATTTAGCAGTGTTAGTAATAAAGAAGAAAAAGAAAGATGAATGCCCCTTACTGAGGAATAATGACACTACCTACAAATGAAGTGGATGTTAGAGTGGACATAGAAAATGTCAATGTCATTAATGGGAGGTAAGAATGTTAGAGAGTTTTTTCCTTTTCCATTTTGATAGTGACTTTTGTACTTACTGTTCATGTGATAGAGGAACATATTGGGAAAACTAGCAGCTATATATACGCTGTAGACTGCAGGGGTCCTCAAACTACAGCCCGTGGGCCAAATGCGGTCTGCCGAGGACATTTATCTGGCCCGCTGGGTGTTTTTGCCCAGTTTTTTTTTGTTTGTTTGTTTTTTTACTTCAAAATAAGATATGTGCAGTGTGCATAGGAATTTGTTCATAGCTTTTTTTAAAAGCTATAGTCCGGCCCGCCACTGGTCTGAGGGACAGTGAACTGGCCCTTGTTTAAAAAGTTTGAGGACCCCTGTTCCGGAGTGTGACAGTGTTTAGAACTAGAATGATCTATTGGATAGCCATCCTCAGCATTATCATAAATTGTGGAC